TGTACAAGCATGTTTCCAAACAGTTTTTCCCCCAGTTCACCCCTGCGATGGGAAACACAGAATTCTCATTCAGGGGACAGGGGTAGGGTTTCTCATCATAACCCCTCGGCAATTCACATAATGATGTTCACCGGGAAAATAATAAAATGTTGCGCGTCATGTGACCGGCACCTGCGCGGGCTCATACCATCTTAAGCCGGCTGATGGTATGGCCCGGGTTTGCCCGCCAAGCATTCCAGCCAGCTGCCTCCCACTGCAATGACCGGTGAGTGTGTGTGAGTGTGTGTGTGTGTGTGTGTGTGTGTGTGTGTGTGTGTGTATGGATGAGAGAGAAAAAGTATCGCTGCAGGTGTGCACCCTTGGTCACGAGACTTAACAGCAGAAGTGAAATGGAATGAGGTGTGAGTGCAGGTTATTGTACAGTTTGTAACTGGATGTGCGTATGTGTGTGTCCTGTGTGTGTCCTGTGTGTGTGTGTGTGTGTGTGTGCTATGCGGCGGGTGCCGGCCCGCTAACCTCCGCTAGTGACGGCGTCGCTCCGTCACACCGTCCGTGCTGCCTCCACTCCAGCAGACCGTTCTAAATATGGAAAACTGACTTTAAGGGTGAATACCACCACTGACTGTGTCTGAGAAAGAAAAAATAAAAGAATTCTGCCTGTATTAAATACCCGTGCAAACCCCTCTGATTTCCCTGACGGTCTGGCCTGTGCTTAATATTGGTTTTTAATCCTCCGTTCCTGTCCTGTCTGATGGAGCGACTATCTTAGTGTCTTACTGTCACTATGAATTCTATTTATAAAGAACTACAAAGATGCAAAATGTACACTTTAGCTCTTAGCAAACACATATTTTTAAGCTTCTGAAGGACATGTTTTGACCTTGCATGTCAGCAGCAGTTGTCTCTTTAGCTGAAGAAGTATTTTGATTATGTTAAGTCACATTTTTTGTGCAGCACATTTGAAACGGCAAAGAAGAATCACTCTTTTAACAGCAAGAGTAGAGCAGAGCCAGGCTCAGGGAGGACGGTCACCTGCCTCAGCAGTTGGAGTAAAAGAGTTGTTTCAACCTGTCTGAAGTGCAAATATGCTTTTCAGTAGCATGTGCAACTTTAGAAACAAAAACCTAACTGCTGTATGATCAGACTTCTGACCAGATAGTTCTGAGAATGAATGTTTGTTGGCCGTCAGCTGTCGTCTTTATAAGGGAATCAGATGAATCAGATGATTAGTCAGAGCCTCACTTGTTTCAAAGTTACAGATGAATCCTCTAAATAAACTCAGTGATATTCATGCAAGCTGTGTAACACTAGAATAAGCTGTCTGGTGCAGGTAAGAGTTGTTCTCATTTAAGTAAAGCTTGGATGCAAATTTCAATCAGAAACACATGACAAAGAGTGTTCGTGGCAGTGAAGCAGACATTTACGGGTTGTATCAATGGACTTTATTGATGCTTTGCACTCTTTGCTGGAAGGTGAGTTTCAGTGAAATGTTACATGTTCAATGTTTGTACACAATAAAGCATCTAATTTAACATGATAGAACAGGTGTTTCTATTAAAGGCATTGCTATAAATACTGTTAAAGAGCTAAACGTCCACACTCTTTCCAAGGATGTGTTGTGAACAGGTGGTAGTGTTTCATATGGACTTAGGCTTCAGTCTGTGAGGGCTCCTCACTGTTGGAAGGGAAATGGAAGGTCAACCTCAAGCTTCCCATCCGTAACTTTCATGTAGGCTTGAGCTTGTGCTGAAGCTTGTTGCAGAAATCCATAAACAGCATCATTGAACTGGGAGATGACAAAAATCAAGTTATCTATAACCTGCTCACACCGTCTGCTCAAATTCTCCACATTAAGAATGGGGAAGCGCTCAGCTGTTCTCATAATGCCTGTTACAAGGTTACGATAGAACTCATTGACCTTGATAAACACTGCATCTAAAAAGTCAGAGCTGATGGAGTCAATAAGCTCTTGAGTTTTGTCAACAATTGCCTTCACGGTCTCATTAATCTTCTCCAGCATTGTGTCAAGACTTTCCATATTTTTTATAAAGTCCACCAGTTCAGCAGAGATTAGCTTAAAAGCTGCTTTGACCTGATCAATGATTTGGCCTCCAGTGATTGCATCACCGACTGGCATGCGCACTTTCACCTTGCTGATAGTCTCAACAAAAAAGTTGTAGAAAACCTCCATATTGTCAAAGATCATTTGGAGGGTTGCCTCAAGCATAGCAGCAATGCTGCTGGTCAGCTTCTTTAGGACCTCAGGGATAGTGGTGAGCTCATCAGACCCTGGCAGTTTAAACTTGGTCTCCCTTAAAACTTTGATGACAGCATCCAAGAAGACCTGGACAGTTTTCTGATACTGGACAATGACGTTCCTGAAGAAAATTGACAGCTGGCTCAACTGATCGTCATAATTCATTGCAACATTATAGGCATCGTTGAACTGTTTAGTGACAAAGGCTTTCACTGCCTCCACACTGTTTGTGATCTGGTACTTGTCAGCAAATGTGGTGAATGCAGAGAAGATGGAAGGGAGTTTCATCTTGAGCTCAGAGAGCATTGCTTTGGGTGCCTCCATATTGTAGGCAATCTGCATGCTCATCTTATCAGCATCCTTAGGAGAAGATCTAACGACCATGATGTCGACATCAACGTCTGGGGTAGACTAGAAGAAGGAAAGAAAAGCTCAATTTAGCTATATTTTGATTTCTGAGTATAATTTCACATCATTTGAAAAAAGTCACGCTTGTAATACTCACAGGATAACGGCCATAGAATCTTGCAGTCATCTGAGATGGGACTCTACCATTGAACTGAAAGCCTAGAAAGCCAGCGGATGGGGTTGATACTGAGGCACTGGTACCATCTCTGCGCGCAGCATAGCGAAGGTTCACATCAGTGAAAGTAGGACTGGTGATGTCCACATTCAGTGTATGAGCAGAGGAACTGGAAGAGAAAGAGAGGATTTCAAATGAAAAAGTGTGATTACCTCTTACTGATTTACCACAAAGGAATATGATTTATGCATCATAAAATATGAACATGCTCAAGAAACAGTGAATATTTACCTGTCGTCAGCTTGGCTCCTGAAATGTGAAGAAAAGAAGTTAATCATTGTAAGAGGCGAATAATAGAACCTATTGTTTAACATGCTGTAAAACATACAGAAATATTACCCAAAAGCTTGACTGATGACATGGTTGACATCCATGGTCAGGTCAGCATGTGTCAGGACAGCCTTGTTGTTCACGCTGAAGATTTCATTCTCAAAGGTTGTAGTAGCAGAAGCTGAAAGAAATAATGTTGTGAGATTTGATGTTCAACATTGCTTGCAGCAACAAAAGAAAGATATGATTAGGGAGTTTTTTTCAACTCACCATCCATGTCATATTCCAAGATGACGATAGGAGAGGTAGCAGAGGACTTGTAGATGACTTTGAAGACAGGAACACTGCCCTCCACCTCAGTGGTCATCTCTGTGGTGTACAGTGGACTGGCAAACTTAGCATTGGT